TGTCTGGTCGCTGGATGCTGTGCATGTGGTCTCTAAACGGGATTTTGTGAATTGACATCAGAGCATCTGGGGCTGAGTTTTAAACCCCAGTTGTTGGTGTCTTTTTGTTTTGTTAGTTTTTTTATTCTAAAACACAAACTTGCACAAAGTAATAGTTTTTCCCAAGAACACCAAGTTACAGCTGGTACTGGCTGCCAGTTTTAATCAGCAGGCAGAAACTCACAGGCACACATATCTGAGTCCTCACTCAGCAACTACCACCGACAACCCAAACTCACTTCACCCAGCTGGAAACTCTCTCAACAAATCCTCCCTTGATGAGTAACAGTACCCAGTGTTCTAATTAATGCTTGTGATATACTAGCTGTTCCCCCATCCCCATCTGTTGGTACATGGCATGTATGAACCAAACCTTTGTTTAGTCATTTTGTAGAAAATATGCAGCAGCCTTTTGTCTGGACTGTGTTGTACCAAATACGTTCAGCAAATCAAATTAATTTGTCCATCAAGCCTGTCTTAAGGAACTTAGGTGTCTCATAGGTTATTCAATACATCTTACCTGAAACTGTTTTTATCATTTGTGAATATATCCAGATGTATTCGGGTTTTTGTTTCTTCTCATGAAGGCTCTTTTCTCATGTGAACACCATCACCCTGCAGCAAGACTTAACTGGACCACACCAGTCGTGTTTTTAATTTTAAAATCCCCACTTTAACTTTTTGCTGCCCTGGATGGTCCAGCTTCTTCCTGCATTATTGAGTTGCTATAAGTAGCTGCATTTCCATTACAAATGTGAACAAAACTTTAATATTCCACTAATGTCGAAAAAATACAATTGACTCAATTTAAAATTATGTGTGAATGAGTATATTTACGCAATAAGTCATTATAAACCTTGCCACGCCGTGATCCTCCAGCTACTTCCTGTCGTCTTTTTCTTCATGGTTTGTGTCGGTGGCAACATCCGGTTGTTGCTCACGTGACTCGTGTGATTTGAAAATGGTGTTTCCATTACAGTTTTCTCGAAATAAAACAATTGTGTTACGGCCTAAACCTTTTATCAAAAAATTAGTTTTTTTCAACATTTCCGTTTTTCCATTAAGCAAATTTATTTTCAAGATCTCAAATTGTGCAATTATATGTTCATTGGAAATGCAGCTAGAGTTACTCAGATATACATGCAATAAAAGTGTATCATCAGCATAGCTTTGAAGAAGTGATGAACATTTGGCTGCGTATCAGGTCCAGAGAGCAAGACAAGGTTTATTAAACACTCATTTTTAGGAATGGGTTTTAAAGAATCTGTAATTGTTGAACAGTTTCTTCCAGGTTTGACTCGTGGTTTTCAGGTGCGCCTGAGTCTAATGTGGCTCTCGCATTACATTTATCCACACGCAATCAACTGAATCTGCAAAGAGAAGCTGTCCTGAACATACCTGTAAATCTGTAATTGTGATTTACTCATTCTTGTAGAGCTTGCATGGGGGAAAAAGGTAGCTGCATAAAGAGTAAATATCCCTCCCTTGCAATCCAGAGCAGGACAAAGCAGGTGTTTAAAATGGATGAATAAAAAATCCTTAAAAGGAAGTCAGATGGAAGGTTGGGGTGAGATCTAAAGCTTCTATTTCCTCCCATTCCCACCAAAACACCACATCAGAGGATTTGTCTTTCACTCCTCTGTGCCACACCTAATTGTTATCTGCCAGTACCCAGTATCTGCTCCTGCAGCTGATTATACAAGGAGGCTTGAACCCATATCTAAAGATATATATATATATATATATATATATGTCAGTGGTGAAGCAGCACTGTTGCTTTTCAATGGTAAGAGCTCAGAGAGTGCTGGCGAGCAGAGAGGAGATTCATGTGGTTTTGAGGAAGTGAATACATCCACTTCTGTTGCCACCCGCCTTCATTCTCCCCTATCTGTCTGCTTCTCACATCCGCATGATAGCCACCCACACGGTAAAATCAAAATGTCCTGCTCAGCAGTGGACTGCCATTAAGTGTTTTTTTTTTTGTTTTGTTTTTTTTATATTGACTGCAGCAAACGCAGTTTGCTGAGGCCAAAAATAAATCCATAGATTTGTCATCTAATTAAAACAAAAACATTTTGTCTTCATGCTATATCACTTACATTTAAAATGGCTTAATATTTTCCCATCTATCTAATGGATGGGATGTGCAGACAGGGTGTCTGCACGTCCTTAAAAAGTATTAGTTCTATTTTTATGTACCTAAGAGTAAGGTCTTAAAATGTCTTAAATTTATTCTAAAAAGTAAGTCAGCCTTTAATATCGTTACCGTTAGAAAATAATGACCGAAGTATTTATTTATTTATTTATTTTTTTTTTTTGACTAATTCATCTTTTGGCAAAAAAATTACGTAAAGAGTTGACGATATGTTAATCACAGGTCTTAAATTTTGTCTTGACAGGATTATTTAATTCTGTATATTATATATTTTTTTTATTTTGTGTTTTGTCCTTGCAGGACTTTTTTTATCAGGCAAAAGTTTGAGTCACACTCGGACACATCGTTCATTGTATTCTCTGACTTGAGTAGTTGAGGCCACCAGTAACTCACCGCTAACATACCATGGCTAGCTTGCTGGCTTTTTTTTTTTTTTGCATATATCAAATTTATCACCAGTTGACTGGACTAAGTGTGCACATTTCTGTGAAGATTTAGGACTTATATTCTATTCACAATGGTCTTAAATGTGCATCACTGTAGAAATACCGAGCATCATAAGGAAGAAGAGTGCTGGCTTCATTTTGTTTAATCGGGTATTTATTGGAGAATCTCAGTGGTAATTAGCCACCATATTTTAAGGTGCAGCCACTTAAGAGATTATTTGGGAAATTGTGTTCAATTATTCAAATTGACATGTTATGAGTAATAGTATTAAGCATCACAATATAGATTTTCATTGAGAACAACAAGATGGTAAATTTGTTGTGGTTGAGGCGCCAGGTTAGTGAGAGGAGGCGCTGCATTCACAAACCTCCTCACTTCAGATCAAAGAACTTTTTCGAGGAGTCAGAGTACCGGAGGTTTCAGCTAAATCTCATCCTTATGATAATCACGTTTTTGATCGGACAGCTGCGACATAATTTAGGCTTGGAGGGCAAGCTATTCACAATTCTTTTGATCATAAAACATTCAAACAGTCCCCGTTAAGGTTCTAACATGAACAGGCCTTTTAACAGCCATTCCATTTTAGGTAATACTGCTGCAATCGAGCTTTTCACAGCATCAGTGCATCACTGATTAGCATTTAACTGCCGCTGGTTTGTTGGTGGATATTCAGCCTTTGTTGACTGCTGCAAAATGTGTGAACTTATGTTGGACGTATATTATGTCACAGTTTGTGCCAAGTTTACTAAAATTTTTTCACCCCCCCTTTTTGATGGTGTGTTTCAGAGCTTTGAGGATCTGAAACACACCATCAGCTCTGCATACTTAAAAATTCTCCCAGATAAGGAATTAAATTAAAGACTAAATGATTGGTCAAACCAACATCAGCAAGTCTGATGAGCTAATCTTCTTCTCTCTAAGGGCAGCCACTGCACAACTGTCAGCGCCACACAGTGAGAGTAGCAGCTACACTGCTCACCCTTACCGCTGGTTTCTTTGATTCCCAACGTGAGTAGAGTCTAGATTTATGGCCTGACTAAAAAATGCCACTCTACAAGTTGATGCCACATGTTTTTAGAGTTTTAGTTGTAAACAATTATGAGAACCATGTATTCATTCCTTCCTCTTAAGAATCATGCACTGCTTTGGGTTGGTCTGCCACATGACATTACACTGAGGTTTGTGGTTGCAACGTGACAAAATGTGGAAAAAGGTTTCTGCCACTGGAACACTTTTACAAGGCACTGTACCTGGCAACGTTTAAACCTACATGGATGCCACAGAGGTTTTTTCTTTTTTACATAATTTCTCATATTTACCACCTAACCAGACTTTTGTGATAATCTTTGTTGTACATTTAAACTAAATATCAGTGTTGGGGATTCCAAAAGGGAAAATAGATCGACTAGGTGTCAAACTACCACTCCTCTAATTATAAACTGATTCCCCCATTGAGCTTCTCAGCATATTTCTTATTAATTTATTTAAAAACGTGTGATTTTTTTTTCCCTGTTGCACCAGAACGAGTGTTGAAACTGTTGGTTCTGCATGTCACTCCCACTTCCTTCCCCCTTTGTAATTACAGCAGCTCCTTCCACCCACCTTTGCATTTGAAACCTGACTTGCAGCAACACCAACACGACATTCCTGCCACGATTAACTGCAGTTACAGCAAACCATGACTCCGGACTTCCTGCGGAGCCTCGAAGGGACGATTCTTACTTCCTCTAAAACCTTTAGGGTTCCGTCGACAACATCAGGCTTGAGCTCGGTTGAGTGCGCAGTAAGGTGGTATTTGCTTCTTGTTGCCGTGGTGAATCCCATTCACTGCGTCCCCCCCAATTAGTTCCCGATGTGTTTTTTAATTCAGATGTTCTTTTGATAAATTTGCATGTCAGTTGCGTTCGTTTTCCACCGGCCGTTTAATACCGCACACACTGATTGTTTACATGTGTTTGAACATTGACGAGTGTGTTTTTTTTGGGGGGGGGCTTTTGCATCAATTGACACAAAAACCAGCTGGGGTGCCTTGCCTTGCCTGTTAAACGTTTGATTACATCCAAACTTCCTGGCAGAGGGAGGGGGGGAGTGAGGGTATGAGGGCCTGGGTCTGCTAGGCATAAATGAGCAGAGCAGATGTTGGCCAGATGTGGCCAAGGAGAGAAGAGGGGGAGGGAGTTCATGAAGGATGAAGAGAAGAAAGGGGGCAAGAAGAGGGAAAAAATGAACTGAGATAGCAAAGTAGAATGTCTGCCACACACGGACAGCTTTGTTCTCCTCTTCTCACTTAAGTGTAGCCTTCCGCCTCTTCCTTTCTTTAAAACGCATTCCTCCTGCCTTGTTCTCCTCCCTCCATCAGCCTCCATCTCCTCCCTCCATCGGCTTCCTTCTACTGCCTCCTCACAAGTCTCCCTTTGAAGTGAGGACAGCGTGCAGGAAGCAAGCTGGAATCGATTGCTCCGTGCATTAGGCCAGGAATGTGTGACACCCCCTCCTCCTCTTCCTTCCTCTCCCATCCCTCAGACACATCCCTCATTAATTTCCCCCCTTCTGTTCCTCCTGTTGCTCCACCAGAAGTATCTACTATCGCCCAACGTCGCCTCACTTTCTGGAGTTTAAACAAGGATGACCGGCCCCGATTGTTCCTCATTTCAAAATCGATCTCTTTGTTATATTAACCCTACCTCGGGGTCATCACGACAATACTTACTCTGAGTTTCGTTCTCCAGTATTTTGAAAGGTTTTGTTGAAGAGTTGTTTCAGAAAAGCGTCATTCTCGGTATGCCCTTACTTGTGCAACACCAATTGGAGATTCGCCGATCCGATATTAATATCGGTATCAGTCCTGATATGGAAGAAAATTCTAGATCAGGTATCAGTCTAATTCTAGTGCTCTGAGCGATGCCATGCTTTAGTTTTTTGAGTATATTTTTAAATGCTAATTGCACTTTTGAATAATTTTTAAAAAGATTTGTTGAAGTTTTTTTTACTTGTTAGACCAATTGTTTTTGTCACTTATTATAAAGTTGTTTTTACATGTTTGACAAAACATGTGAAGCTACTGTTGTATTTAAGTGTGCTGTGCTGGTGCAGAGTTGGCAAATAAATTTGTAATTCAGCATATTTTTGTCTGTTTTTGCAAAAAGAAACGTTCAGCAGTTTCTCTGTATCGGATCAGTATCGGCTGATATTAAACCTCAGTTATCGAAAGTTTAAAAAGTGAATCGGTGCATCCCTAAAACTGATGTGTAGTAGAAAAAACGTAGTGGTAGAAATGTGTTACATTATTACATATTGTGGCATTACAAGAAGGCTACTAAGAATTAAATGCATAACGATATACACTGCTCAAAAAAATAAAGGGAACACTCAAATAATACATCCTAGATCTGAATGAATGAAATATTCTCATTGAATACTTTGTTCTGTACAAAGTTGAATGTGCTGACAACAAAATCACACAAAAATCATCAATGGAAATCAAATTTATGAACCAATGGAGGCCTGGATTTGGAGTCACACACAAAATTAAAGTGAAATGTTCCCTTTATTTTTTTGAGCAGTATATTTGACTGTTTTGAGAACCGTATCACTGCATGTCAAATCTTCTCCGAGTACTTTTTTTTTTCCAGATCAGAACCTAAAGGCAGATTTTGACCATTCATCAAATCAAAAATCAAATAAAAAAAAATTCATGGTTTAAAAAGGCCAAACACAGGCTTCTTCTGGGGCTGCTTTTTATGTTTTACATTCTTAAAGACGAGTTTAAACCAAACCCGATAGACTTCAGTGGATTCCGTCAAATCATTTCTCGTCTTTCTCTTCTCAGTCTGCAGAACAACCTTGAGAATTGAATGTCTTTCAATTTCAACCTTTTCAACTTGTCAACTTTTCAGCAGTATTTTTTTTAGTCAAATAGATGGTTAAGCTAACTGCTGCTCAGCCATTAAATGAGGCATTTCTTCGTTTTCTTTTCATACATCTTGAGTTTGAAACCCGAAGGTGAGGTCCTTGTCCACATCCACGTGTTCGTACTGTATGTGCACCAAATGGAAACATTTGCGTTTCTAAAGCAGTCACCTTCAACGTCTAATTGATGAGTAGTGTCATTTCACTACAGTATGTCTTCATAAACAGAACAGTGATATTCTGGATTTAAGCATAGAATGAACTAGAGGATGAAAGTCCTATTTAGATTTAACCCCTCGTATCTTCAGTGCATCCTACAATTTGAAGGGAACTGAAAACACATGTAGCGTATGGGTCATAATGATGATGTAGATGGAACAGAAACACTGTCTTCTAAATGAATTGCAATTAAAACTAGAAAATTCCGCAGGAATTTTAAGGGGCATGCCAAAGTGTGCCCGTCGGTTTTTAATCAAGCGTTCTGATGCAAAA